GCCCACTGGGATCGTGGCCGGGTGGAGCCTGGTCCCCTTGCGGCCCACTGGGATCGTGGCCGGGTGGAGCCTGGTCCCCTGCGGCCCACTGGGATTGTGGCCGGGTGGAGCCTGGTCCCCTGCGGCTCACTGGGATCATGGCCGGGTGGAGCCTGGTCCCCTGCGGCCCACTGGGATCGTGGCCGGGTGGAGCCTGGCCCCCTGTGGCTTGCCAGGATCATGGCCGGAGGTACCTGGTCCCCTGCTGGGGCTGCGAGTGTGAGGCATGGCTCACGTGCCCTAACCACTGCCAGGTCTACAGAGGCTTGTGCTCTGCTTATTCCCAGCGTACTTGGCATGCAAGATCCAGCGTGCAGCTTCCGTTTATTTTTGTCTTTCAGATATTAAACCGTCTAAGTCTAAAACGACTGAGTACTTAAGTTAGGTGGTGTTTCGGTTTTATTTTCTCTTTGCGTGGCTCAGGCGCTCATGCTCGGGGGCGGGGGCGCCCCTCACCCCCAGCCCTCAGTGGTCAGAGGCTCCCCCAGGCCCCGCACTGGCCTTGGCTCCATCTGTAGTGGGCGATGTGGATGCACTGGGGACACAGAGGATGGCCGCTGTCACAGAGTCTCTGTGTGTCTCCTGCAGCGTGGCAGCTTTGTGAGTTGTCGCCTCGCTATCTCAGGAGATTACACAGATTTGATGGGCGTGTGTCTTTGGTTTCCCCAGCCACTCTGACCTACGACACTCTCCGATTTGCCGAGTTTGAAGATTTCCCTGAGACCTCGGAGCCAGTTTGGATACTGGGCAGAAAATACAGCGTTTTCACAGGTATCAGCTCTGCTAGCGCCTCGGCCCTGACTCCTCAGTCCACAGCAGGTGTCAGCGATGAGAACTGTCACCTGCCACTCTCCTGTAACGGGCCGTGGTGGGTCAGGGTGGAGTCCCCGCCTTCCACAGGGTAACGGGGCCGTGGTGGGTCAGGGTAGGGTCCTCGCCTTCCGTAGGGGAGACCGGGCCAAGGCATCTCATGTGCAGCCACCAGCCGTCTGTCAGTGGAGGCTTGCATGTTGCCTTGATGCTGAACAAGTTTCAGCTGAGCTTTCAGACTAATAGAGACTAGGAAGAAAGGCCTAGCCATCTACTTCTGAAAATCAGCCAGTGAAAACCCTGTGGATCACAACAGTCTAATCCCATTACATGTGGGGTTGGACATGAATTGGAGCTCAACTCAGTGGCAGCTCACAACAATGACTTGCCTGTAATGTGTGACTTACAGCTTAAGCATTTGTGTGTGTGTTTTTTTTTTTCTTCTTTTAAAAAACATCTAGAAAAGGACGAGATCTTGTCTGATGTGGCCTCGAGACTTTGGTTTACGTACAGAAAAAATTTCCCAGCCATCGGTAAGGACCCTGCTTTGTTACGGCACGTAACAGAGCGTAAGCGTTTCAGGAACGAGGCACACTCCCCGTTTGTAGGTGTGACTCCAGCATGCCGGACCCTTGGCGCCCCACTGACCCTCACAGCAGCCCTGGTGCCGTAACTAGCCGGGGCTCCGCCAGAATCTGAGCCGGGCTCCTGGTTCTGCCCCGGAGGTGCTTTCCAACCGCAGGTCCCCGCGCACCGCTGAGCCTGAACCTGGGGGCGGGGAGCCGGGATGACAGCCTCTGCTCCTTCACCCTGTGATGTCCCCACGTCCCTTGACGCACTGGCAGCAGGTGGAGGTCGTCCCCTCTGTTGTAACCGCACGGCGGCATGGCACTGGCCCCTGCTGTAGGCACTTCCTGTGCCCCTGGGGCGGGTCTAGACCACAGGCCTGTCAGGTGCCAGTGGTGCTGCGTGCGGCGTAGATGGCCACAGCCCGTTAGGACTTTAGCGTCCCACCAGGTATTGTGGCCTCTGCAGGCCATCTGACCTCAAGCGTCTCTTGTCGCCACAACAGGGGGAACGGGCCCCACCTCGGACACGGGCTGGGGCTGCATGCTGCGCTGTGGACAGATGATCTTTGCCCAGGCCCTGCTGTGCCGGCACCTGGGCCGAGGTGAGCCCTGGGCTGGGTTGGGCGCTGTGCGGCAAGGTCGGTTCACAGCAAACCATTCAGGCTTTCTGGAACAACAGTCTTCTGGTTTTCACTGCTTATAAAATACCACGACTTTAAAGGATCCTGATAAACGCTTACTTTTCAGAAATTGTCTTTAAACACTGAGCCCGCTGCCTGCTTTCTGTGGGCATTTGTTGGGATGAGGTTGGCCTGTGTATACCTGGCATCCTGGAGCATTTGGCTTCTCACTTAGAACGGCTCAGAGAGGCTGGGCAGCGCCTGTACCTGAGTCCGGTGAATGTACCTGGGGTAAGAGCGTCTGTGTGTCCCGCAGACTGGAGGTGGGCGCGGCGCAGGAGGCAGCCCGACAGCTACTTCAGCGTCCTCCACGCCTTCATCGACAGGAAGGACAGCCACTATTCCATCCACCAGATAGGTGGGCAGCTGGGGCATGCCTGTGAGGTTGGGGGCAGAGCCTCCCTGGTGTGAGGCGCAGGGGGTGAGGGTGGCACACCATCCCAGACTGCAGCCACTGTGGGGTGGGGGGGGTTGGGGCCCACTCGTGCCCAGCCTGCCCTGCCTGTGGCTGTCTCGGCCCACCCCCTGTCTGCACACAGCTTCCTGGACGGCCTCGAGGCCTGTTCTCCGCGGCCTCACCCTGAGGCAATGCCCGGTGAAGCTACTGCCCTTGTTTTCAGCGGGCCCTACTTGTGAGGTCCTTGTTCTTGTTTACGGAGGAGAGTAAAAACATGACCCGCCTGAGCTGGCAGACCGGAGCGCCCCCACTCCGGGGTACTTCATTCCCTCCATCCCCTCCTGCAGAGAGCTGGGTGACCAGGCAGGCGGCACTGACCCGCCTCTGTCTCCACGAGGCAGCGGCAGGGCGCTGGGGGCTGGCGGGCAGCACTGGGGGGCAGTGGCACCAGAGAGCCAGCTGGTGGTACTGACCCATCTCTGTCTCCACAGCACAAATGGGAGTCGGCGAGGGCAAGTCTATCGGCCAGTGGTACGGCCCCAACACTGTTGCCCAGGTCCTCAAGTAGGTACCGCTGCCCACACATGGGGTGGGCAGGGTGTGACCTGGCACGCTCCACAGGGTGGCTAGTGCCGGAGGGCAGCGTCTGCCTCTGCCCGGAGCCCCTCCTCCCGCGGGGCAGTGCCTGTGGTCTGGGAGCGAGAGCACATTTGCTCCTAAAATCAGCCCGAATCCAGCTGCGCCCGCAGAGTGGGGCTTGTCCTGTCTGCCCCAGGTCCCTCAGCCCCTCGTCCTGTCCACGGCTATCCACTGAGCCATCCCCCCACGCTCCCCCACTCTCCCTAAGTGACTGCCTCTGCACCATACCCGCCTCTGCTCCTCATTCCCATGGGCTCTAATGGTGTCCGACTCTCTGCGAGGACCTCTGCCCCAAGCCCCCTGCTCCTGATCGAGTCCCCTGAGACGGCTCTCCCGCGGGTTGCAGCAGCCCCTCGGTCCCTTGGCCTGTCAGGCCACTGGGCCAATCCTCTCTCTGTGACTGCTTCCTGGACTCGCCCCCCCAACGCAGGGCCTCCTCTCACTGCATCCTTGGCCCTCTCTGCCCCGTGCACCCCGGTCTTCCCTTGGCTGAGGGTGGGTGTTGTCAAGTCTGCCTCCGGCCCCCATCATGCCTCGTCCAGGAGGCCTGCTCCTTGTCTCCCCGCAGGGTCCCCCCACGTCTCCACTCGGTGTTTCTGACACTGCACCTTCTCCCCCAAGCCTGCCCCTCCGGGCCGGCCCCTTCTCTCTCACATCGCCCTGTAGCTGGCCCCACATCTGCCTGCACGCCATCTCACAGCACCCCCGTGGGGCCCCCTGACTGCTGCCTGCGCTTCAGAGTCCTGGCCCAACCTTGTGGGCGTGTCCGTAGGACAGGCTGTGCTTCTCCTCACTCTCATCTGCCCACGTGGCTGATGCCCCGTCCCACAGAGGCCGCCTGACTGTGCCATCCCCTCCAGGGTCTGTCGGCTGTGGGCGGCTGATCAGCACATGTCTATCGTTTCACGTAGGAAACTTGCCGTGTTCGACACATGGAGCTCCCTGGCCGTCCACATAGCCATGGACAATACGGTGGTCATGGCGGAAATCAGTAAGTGACGTACAGCTTCCAGTTGACAGGAAAGTGTAAAATGTGGGCCGCATGACTCAGGAGGAAAGCTGCTGCAGCTTTTCCTTGCCTGGGTCCCAGGGTGGCTGGGGCTGGACGTGTGAGCCCCTCAGATGCAGTGCCGTGCTCTGCATGGCTGGGGGCTGAGCTGGATGGGCCGGGGCTAGACGTGTGAGCCCCTCAGACATGGTGCTGTGTTCTGCTCGGCCGGGAGCCGAGCTGGAGGGGCCTAGGCTGGACGTTGTAAGCCCCTCAGATGCAGTGCCGTGCTCTGTATGGGCTGGGGGCCGAGCCATAGGGGCCAGGCTGGACCGTGTGAGCCCCTCAGACATGGTGCCATGTTCTGCATGGCCAGGACCTGAGCCGGAGGAGCCAGGGTGGACACTGTGAGCCTCTCAGACACGGTGCCACGTTCTGCACGGCCAGGAGCTGAGCCGGAGGGGCCAGGGTGGACCCCGTGAGCCTCTCAGACACGGTGCCACGTTCTGCACGGCCAGGACCTGAGCCAGAGGGGCCGGGGTGGACACTGTGAGCCTCTCAGACACGGTGCCACGTTCTGCATGGCCAGGACCTGAGCTGGAGGGGCCAGGCTGGACCCTGCAGCCTCTCAGACACAGTGCCATGTTTTGCACGGCCAAGAGCTGAGCCGGAGGGGCCAGGGTGTACCCTGTCAGCCCCTCAGACACGGTGCCATGTTCTGCACAGCCGGGAGCTGAGCCGGAGGGGCCAGGGTGGACCCTGTGAGCCTCTCATACACGGTGCCACGTTCTGCACGGCCAGGAGCTGAGCCGGAGGGGCCAGGGTGGACCCTGTGAGCCTCTCACACACGGTGCCACGTTCTGCACGGCCGAGAGCTGAGCTGGAGGGGCCAGGGTGGACCCTGTGAGCCTCTCACACACGGTGCCATGTTCTGCACGGCCGAGAGCTGAGCCGCAGGAGCCTGGTAACCCTCATTCTCACACCTTGTAGGAAACTCCAGGTCTTGGAAGGAACAGAGGAAGTGGGCCTTTTGCATCTTTGTTACCGGGAATTGTCCAAGGCATGCTGTTCAGCTGCCTTTGGCCAGGTATCCAGCTGAAGTCCTTTACGGATGTTGTTGTTACTTGCCACCAAGTCAGCTCCAGCTCATGGCGACCCCATGACATCAGTGACACACAGAAACGCAGGAACCGCTGTTCACCTGTGCCATCTCAGGGAAGGCGCAACATGGAAGAAAAGCCTTGCTCTGTTCTCCTTTCTGGAAGGATCCACGGGAAACCTGGAGCCTAGGCATGCCAGAGTTTTCCCAGGTTAATCTTGGAAGTCTTGGGGACGACTGGCTCTGAGTACCAGGTGACCTCTGTGGCGAGGGCTCCGAGTTCATGATGGTGTCTGCTGTGCTGCCAGCCCCACAAGCGCTGCTGAACCACGTTCCCACCGGCGCACCAAGCCTGCGGTGGGGCCAAATCTGCCTCAGCCTAGCTGTGTGAGCCCTGCGCGTGAGCATGGCCTCGGGTACACTTGACCTGAGGAGGAGCCCTTTAAAGTCGTCATCCTGTGTGGCACAAACGTGTGGTTTAAGGTGACCTTGCAGACGTCTGGGGCGCACTGCATGGTCCTTGCATGAGGACCTGACTGCTGTCCTGTTGTGTCGGGTGAGGTGGCATGTGTCGGCATCCCTGCCAGATGACTGGGACCCAAGAGTTTCTTTTTCTCTTTCCTGTGGACATTCTGTGGGGGGTTACGTTGTCAACATAGGACTTTGGGGAAGCAAGGACATGGCGTCGTAATGAACGCGCAGCTGGGGCTTCCATCCCTCTCGAGGCTGTCTGCAGCTTGCTGTCGCTTACCAGGCACTGCTCGTTCTCTCCTCCCCGCTCTGTCTTCAGAACACGTTCCCGAGGCTGTGCCAGCAGAGCATTGTGCTCAGGAGTGCTGCCTCTGAGGTAGTCTGCAAGGCGGTGCCGGCCCTGGGGTGCTGGGTTCATCGGTCTGTGTCTGTACTCAGCCTGAGGGGTCTCCGGCACTGCCAAGTCATGTGATAGGAGAAACCTGGCTCTGCTCTCGTTTTCAGAGTAGTTCCTGAGAAGAGGTGATTGGCAAACCTGCTCGTGTTGTGGTGGTTCCATGGATGTGAATGCCTGGCTGGCACCGTGTGTGGTTGTCCGTGTCACCTCGCGGAGCTGACAGCAGACACGGGTCGTGAGAGAGCTCTCGGGAGAGGAGAGGGTCATGGAGATCCCCACAGACGGCAGGGAACAGGCTGTCCCGAGGCAGCAAGTATGACTCACGTCGAAAGGTTGCTCCAGAAATGGGCTGTAGCACCCCTGGATGGCTGAGGCCACCTCTAAATACTGCCCATCGTACCTGGTCCATGACCACATGGGACCCTGCAGGGATGCCAGGAAGGGAGAGCTGCAGGTTTCGAAAGGTGGTTGGAAAGTTGAAGAGTTATTCTTGATGGAAACTGGAGGCTGGGCAGGGCCCCTGGCATGGCAGTCGTGTTGGGCCCAGTGCCAGGACGCAGAGGTGCACCTGCTGGCATCCCCGTCGACCGAGTGCACTGTTAACCCACCGTGTGATGCGGTCACCGAAGTACCGTGCAGGCGTTCAGATAGAGGACGTATGTGGTCTGGAAATGAAAAAGAGAAGCCAAGCGTTCCTGGAAGCCCCTTGCTGAGGAGGGGCCGCGGGGGCCTGGGGCCTGGCGCCTGTCTCTGGCTGGGCTGGTGAGCCCTTGTTTCCTTACTCTTCTTGAAAAGGAACGCTTCCTGGCACTGTTGTGTGTGTATCTTATCGCACAATAAAAACGTAAAGCCGAATGCGCGTAGACATTGAGGTTCTTCTCTCTGGGTAGCAGGATCCTGGGAAACTGCACGCTTGTTCCTGTTTCCCAGCGTTACTTGTACTTAAACACTCGGTCTCTCACATGTCTTGTACTGCTAGAGAACGTGTGCTCGTTCCTTCTGAGAGGACATCAGCCTCTCTGACCTGTGGGCGCCTCTCCCCCCAGGAAGGCTGTGCAGGAGCAGTTCCGTGTGCGCAGGGGCTGCAGCGTGTCCTGCTGACCCCAGCCAGCACTGCAACGGGCTCCCCACTGGAGCCGAGGCCGCTGGCCGGCCGTCACTGTGGAGGCCCCTGGTGCTGCTCATCCCTCTGCGCCTCGGGCTCACTGACATCAACGAGGCCTACGTGGAGACGCTTAAGGTGAGTGCCATCCTCAGGGTGGGCAGCCAGGCGGGGGCGCCCTCCTCGTGGGCTTCTCGTGTGTTGCGACCTGGCCTCGCGGCTTCGTGTGGCCAGTCCCCATTTCCAGGGCTCCCACCGAGGAGCAGGTGTCTGCAGGGCTCCAACCTTGGCACCCTGAACCCTCCGCCCCCTCCGCCCCCTCCGCCCCCTCTGCCCTCTCCTTTATCTGATGCGAATTTCAGACCGAGGTGTCACATCTGAGTGTGTCCTGAGTGTTTGGAACTGAAAGGCGGCTTTTTTCTTCTAAGATTCTTTAATTGTTGCCGTCTTGTCTCCCCGCACTGACTGTCCCCCATTGGCCTCCCAGCCTCAGTCCTGGGTGTCATGTTCGGCCCCTCCCGACCTCCCTGCTCAGGCCTCGCTGCACATTCCTGGCTCCCTGGCACCCACCTGCCCCGACCACGCTGCAGGAAGCTGCCCAGCAGCCAGCTAAACTCAGGTTCCTGGGCCTGCATGTCTTTCTGCCCTGCCCTGAGCTCTCCATGAACCTGTCTTCTCGTCGTCCTCCTCCCACATCCCCCAGTCAGGGCTCAGGGGGCCCTGGAAGGGGTGGACGGGCCCTCCACGCCACCAGGCCTGTTGCGCTGGCCGAGCGCAGGGTTGTCAGTGTCCCTCCTGTCCCTGCAGCACTGCTTCAGGATGCCCCAGTCCCTGGGTGTGATCGGAGGGAAGCCCAACAGTGCCCACTACTTCATCGGCTACGTCGGTGAGTGGCGGCAGCGTGTAAGGCTCACTGTGGGGCTGGAGCTGGCCAAGACCAAGGTGGGGAGGGTCCCCAGAGGTCCTCATGGAGCCCCTCACCCATGGGGAGTCTGCTTTGCTCAGTGCTGCGGTGTGGACAAGGAGCCTGCTCCCTGGGAGGCTCCCTCCTCGGGCTGCTGCACCGGCCTGGCGGGTGCTCTCCCAGCCCACCCAGCCCCTCCGCCCCCCTCCGCCCCCTCCGCCCACTGGGGTCTCACGGGTGGGCCTGACGCCCATCGTCTACAGGCGAAGAGCTCATCTACCTGGACCCGCACACGACGCAGCCCGCGGTGGAGCTTACAGGTGGCTGCAGCATCCCCGATGACAGCTTCCATTGCCAGCACCCGCCCTGTCGCATGAACATCGCCGAGCTGGACCCATCCATCGCTGTGGTAGGCCGGCCGCCCGCGCCAGCCCCCCACCCTGCCACCCTCGCACCCCACAGCACCAGCCCCGCCCAGCCGCCCTCGCACCCTGCAGCGCCAGCCCCCTGCCCATCCCGTTCTTGCACCCACCCCCAGCGCCAGCCCCACCCCCACGCCCATCCCACCCTCGCACCCCCTCCCCCACAGCTCCAGCCCCGCCCCGCCCTCGCCTGTGCCCCCAGCACAGCCCATGCCAGCCCCCCTGCCCTGTGCCTCGCAAAATGCCATTGACGGGTGAGGAGGCCGATTGGGCGGCAATGCCCTGGCGCTAGGGAGTCGCTAAGGAAGCCTCAGACTCCCCGTGACTCGTTCTCCGCTGAGTCCTGGCAGTGCCGCACTCGCCCGAGCTGGCGAGTTTCTTGGGGGGCTGGCCTATCAGGAGGGGCAACCCACGGGCTGCTGAACCTCTAGGCAGCCTTGCCACTGAGCTGGGGGACCCGAGCCTCGGCACCCCGCAGCCTCCGGAGCCGGAGGGGACATGAGAGGCTCTGCTGCTTGTGCCTTCGGGGCTCGCTGGGGTGCGGTGACAGGGAGATGGGAGGAGGCGCCTCGCCCCTGTGGCCGGAGAAGTGGGAGTGCCCAGGTGTGCTGGCCACAGGGTCCACCTCGGACACGCCTGCCGAGGTCTGTGGTCCTGAGGGGGCAGTGCTGGGGTACCCGGCGGTGTCGCCTCACAGAGGCGCTCCCTGGGTGAGCTTGGTCTGTGCTCATACCCCTTCCTACTTCCTTATGATTCTGTTTGCCTTCAGGGATTTTTCTGTAAGACGGAGGAGGACTTTAACGACTGGTGCCAGCAAGTCAGAAAGGTTGGTGGCCGTCTCTGCAGGCGGCGGGGAGGCTAAGGCGGCCTAGTCTGGTGACCATCCTACGGGGGCACCGAGGGGGGTCCGGTCATTGTCCCGTGGAGGCACTGAGGTGGTGGTGGCTGGGCCCTAGGAGGTCTGGTGTGAGCGCCTTCCCCCCAGCTCCCACTGGTCGCTCTCTCTCTCCTTGCCTGCGGGCAGTGTGGCCCCGGGGGTTCTGAGACCCTGGGGGGACAGCGCCGCTCCGATGGCTGTCTCTCTCCACAGCTGTCACTGGTCTCGGGTGCCCTGCCCATGTTCGAGCTGGTGGAGCAGCAGCCCTCGCACCTGGCCTGCCCCGATGTCCTGAACCTCTCCCTCGGTGAGTGCCGCCATGGCAGGCCGGGTCTCCACGCAGTATTCTCTGCGTTTTCCACGTCCTGGGGGGCTGTGCCTCCTGGGTCGTGTGCCCCTTCTCTCCTTTACAGTTTACGTGAGCCGTGGAGGAGCCACCCGGGGTGGGTTCACGTGGGGTCAGACTCCGAGCCCTGCTGTGCGTCCGTTCTTTACTGGCCCCGTGGAGCTGGGGGTGCCTGGCGGTCCTGTGGGCGGAGCATCCTCTGTGTGCACAGTGGCTTGCATGGCCCGCTGCCACGTGGATGGGGTGAGCTCTGTGCTTGCCGCCCCGCCGGGAAGGAGCAGGGCAGGGTCGTGAGTGCGGACGTGGTGGGCGGGTGGACGGCTCGGCACTGTGTGAGCTTTCTCATGACGTACAGAGCAGTGAGGAGGCGGGGGATGCTGCCCGGTGCCTGGCGTCGCACGCCACACTGCCTGTTTCTTGCCACGTCCAGTTGTCTCGTCTTTCTTCATACAGAAGGCTTCTGCTTTATCTCCCTGTCTGTCCACCACCCAGTGCCCCTCGAGCCTGTCCGGGCTCCAGCCAGGGGCCAGGCCGTCAGCACCTCCCAGCATGCTGCGCTGCAGGTCAAACCAGCCGGAGGCAGCAGAGCTGACCAGTCTGATGGCCGGCAGCCCCGTGAGCAGTGCCCGCAGGAGAGCCGCTTGCTGAGCTGTTGTCTTGTCTCTTCCAGATTCTTCTGATGTCGAGCGACTGGAAAGGTTCTTTGACTCAGAAGATGAAGACTTTGAAATCTTGTCACTTTGAGGACCCAGGGTCGGGCACAGTCTCTGCTGGTCCTCAGACGCCTAGCAGCCACATTTCATCCATCCCAGCCTACCTGCCTGCTGACGGCGTGAGCCGGGCCATGGCCCAGGGGTGCCCACGCTGCGCGGCTGGTACTGTGTGGCTGGGGCCTCGGAGCTCAGAGTCAGGACTGCTCAGCCAGAACCCTCGAAGGCCAGCCCGACGCTTCCGGGTGGAGGCTGCACGAGGAGCCGTTGACAGCCTTCTGCAGCCCAGCAGGGGCAGAGCAGATCTTCACGTTTCTGGAAGCTTTTCCTCCCGACACTGCCAGCCCGGCATTCTTGCACCGGCTTTCTTCCGCTTCCTCCTGGCGATTCGTTCTGTGGCTCATTCTGGAATTAAAGTCCTGTTTGAAGTTAGTCCACACAGACACGGATTTGTGTTGGGCATGTCCCAAGCCAGCGTCCCAGACCTGCAGGTAGGCATGGGTGGCCCGCCCATCGAAGCTGCTCCAACCGGCCCTGGCGCGGTCACTAAGGGCTACCTCAGCGAGGCGGAAGGTATCAGCGAGGTTTCTCCTTGCTTTGGGGAGAAAGTAGCAAGTGGGGGGCGTGGAGGCAAACCTGGAAGTATAGACATGTGTCTCATACCTGGGACCAAGCGTGGAGGAGTCTGGTGGCAGGGCAGCTGGTGGGCCGGGTGCTCCAGGGCCGCAGGCAAGGAGCTGCTCCTGGATGGTGCGGGGAGCAGGCAGGAGGGGGCTGCCGCTCTGTGACATGAGGGGCCAGCAAGACACCCGGCCCCACTGGCAGCCGCTCCTTGCCCTTGGAATCACTTCCCAGGTCACTGCAGGCTCAGGTGGTTTGGGGCCAAGGGTTAAAACTGCTCCAGCTTTAGGGTGTGAGTCTGACTGACAGACGGAGGCACCTGCTGCCTCCGCTCAGGACTGGCTCAGCGCTGACCCGCTCCACAGCCCCACCCCGCCCCTGCGCCTGTCCCCCCAGGGAGTGTGATGCGGGGGGGGGGGGGCCTGTGCTCCCGGAGAGCTGCGCAGGTGGGCGCTCCTTCCCAGAGGAGCCCTGTTTACAGCCCTTGTTCCTGCAGAGCCAGCCCCCTACGTCCCATGGGATCTGCCGCTGCTGCTGCTCCCGAGGGTTTGTGTGCGTGGGGGGCGGGGAGCCCCCTTTTGAGGATGCAGAGGCACCGAGTCCGCCCCCCCTTCCTCACCCTTGGTCGCTGACACATGGCTGCGTGGGGAAGGAGGGAGGCCGGGACGACTTCCGTTCCTCCACTGCTCTGCATACTTCTGTATTGGGATGAGGCGCCACGACCCTGACAGCGATGGGAGCCAGGGGTGGGGGGCCCCCGACAGCGATGGGAGCCGGGGGTGGGGGGCCCCCGACAGCGAGGGGAGCCGGGGGTGGGGGCCCCTGACAGCAAGAGGAGCCGAGTCATCTGTGTTTGGGGATTTTTGTTTTTTTAATGAAAAGGCTTACCAAGGAGAGCGTTGTCCATTCTTAGTATAGTTTGCAATTGTTAACGGCAAATAAGTTTCAGTAGAAAAGTTTCTGTGTCTTCCGTTTTTTTTCAAATACCGTATAGTCTGATGTGATTTCTAGATAAAAAATTAGATTGGATGTTTTACAAGCTTGTGATGTCGTGTGAAAGGTTCTCAGGAAAGAGCTGGGTGGCTGGCGTGCGTGCGCCGGCGTGCGTGCACGTGTGGACGGACACACAGCAGCAGAACGGCCCCCAGGCTGGGTGGGTCGCCCTGCACAGATCTCTGCAAGCCTGTGACCAGGTCCTCAGGCGCTCCTGGTGGTGCGATTCTCTAAGGCAGGCCCAGCTTGCAGCGTCCGCCTTGCTGGACTTCAAGGGCAAACCAGTCCAGGCGTTCAGGTGCTCGGTGCTCCATGTGAGAGCACCACATCCCTGCAGAGGCCAAGTGGGTGCCTTGGTGTGCCCCTCCCCCCACGGGCACATTGGCATGCCCCTTTCCCTCCCCCTGGTGTGGGAGTATGGCTTAGCTCCCTGGAGCCCTGGAGACAGACAGGAGTCCTTGTTCACTCGGTGACCAGGTTGCAGGGATGCCCGTGTCCCCCCGTCCCCACCGAGTGTAAGTGGACTTGGAGTGACGTGAGATGACAGGAGAGGGGTCAGAGCCACTGCTGGTAACCGCCTCAGGAGCAGGCCTGCAGGCCTCTCCTGTGGCCACTGGAACGTGACCACTGATGGCATGGCTCACACCTTGCCCACCTGTTCTCACGGCTCTGAGGCCAGGCATCTGCAGTCGATGCTGACGGGCTGCTTCCATCCGGAGGCTCGGGGGAGTCCCCCCTTTCCGGCCTCCCGAGCCTGCCACGTCCTGCCCACAGCCCCTTCCTCCGTCCCTCCTCACCTCCCCTTCTACCCTCCGATCTCCCTCTACGAGGACTCTGATGGTGTCGGCCGCTCGGAGAAGCCACATTGCAGAGTCCTTTTACTGTGGGAGGGACAGTCACAGGACCAGCGTGAGGGCACCACACCTCAGGGGACAAAGAAGGGGCCAGGGGGGGCTGTGTGGGGTGGGGCCTTCTAGCGGGTGGTACCCTGGGTGTGGCCCCCAGGGACGGGGGGGCGTGGTCTCAGCCAAGGCTGTCCTGTGCCCCATCAGCTGTATTTACCTTTACCTCTCCACTGCCCAGGGTGTGAAAAGGGGCCGCCTGTGGCTGCTAGGGCACCGCTTCACACCCACCTCTGGGTGGCCCTTCCCCAGCTCACAGACCTCAGCGTTGCCCCTCCCGAAGCCATCTTCCCTGGCTAAAGTCCTGACCCCAGGGAAGCTGCTCTGCATCCTGGCCTCGATCAGGGCAGTCAGGTGACCCTTCCTGGGCCAGCTCCCAGCATGGCCCTCCACCACCTCCGAGCACCAGCCTGGCACCGTCTGCTAGCCACATCCTCCACTATGGCCCACAGGGCCCCTGGGTCCCCTCCATCTGTAGGATCCTTCCAGAAGCCTCGGCCGCACTCCAGGCCCCTCTTCTGTCCAGAACCTGTCACGTCCACCGGCAGAATGACGCGAGTGCCCTAGCTGTCACTGGCACCCATGGTGCTCATGGGTGAACGGCGTCCCCAGGAACCAGGGCTTCCCCCGGGAGGCACAAGATCGTGGCTGAAGTGACAGTGAACAGGAACAGGACACAGCGGCAGACTATTACAGAAACACGCTCCGCAAACCACACACACAGGCGGCGAGACGGGCAGACGGACAGGGCGTTGCTGCCTGTCACTGCCCGCAGGGGCGATGCTGGGACAGCTCATCCAGGGGCCTGCACCAGGGGAGGGCTGGGGCGGCTGCAGGGTGGGGTGTTGGGCAGTCACCTGGCCCTGCAGAGGGACATCAAAGCCACCCTATGCTGACACCTCCCTTGGCCATGAGCAAGGCGGCCACTGTGCAGCCCCGGCCGTCTTCACAGGAGGCGGCCCCAGGTGGTTTCCTCTCCGCAAGGTGCAGCCTGAGGGCCGAGGGCCCACCTCTGCCTGTGCGTTGCATGGCCACGCTGAGGCCCCGCCACAGTCAGAACGGGGTCGTGCACAGCTGCAGCTCAGGCTGACCCCAGAGGTGAATCATCACGCTCGGCCTGGATTCCCAGCCCTGGCCACAGAGGGCAGGGCACTGAAGCCTGGCCTCCCTCTGACCCGCACTCCACCCTGCCCGGAAACCTCCGTCGGAGGGTCTGCTGGAAGTGACCGTGTTGTCCCCTGAGGGCAATTTAACGGGGAATGAGCAGCGCCACTCCTAGCACTCAGGGCTGTAAGGAGAATAACAGACAGTTACGACATGGTGCCCGGGGTGCAGATGGGACGCGCCAAACCCAGGGCAGAGTCACAGGATCAGGACAGGCAGGGAGCCACCTTCCTCCTTGCCTGCTTGGCCCAGGTTGGGATCCAGGGGACACGATGACTGGGACAGATCCATCAGTGCCAGCTGAGCACCGCTGCCCACAACCACAGTGAAATGCCCCCATGTAGGTATTGTTGAACGCCAATAAAAAGTTTATTAATATCCTCAGGAAAGAGGGGACAGAGGAAATGGGGGGGAGCACTGAAGGACAGATGCCCCAGCCACACCCATGCTCTCATCCTGTGGCAGGGAGGAGACACCCTGGTCCTCCAAGCCCCTCAGCTACATTACCCAGCTCATGAGATGTTGCCCACGTGTCCCCTCTGCCTGCACACACTCATGGGCAAATGCTGGCGTCCTGGCAGAACAGCGGGGCCCGGTCGCCTACATCCACAGCTGGCCCAACGGCATCTGCATGGCGGCCTGGATGGCATCCTTGGACAAGGCGCGGATCTCCTTGTGCACGTCCTCCACGCTCCTGGAGGCGTCGACCGTCTGTGCCCATGACGCACGCAGAGGGTGTTGGCGCTTTGTGCATCCCAGTGTGACCCCCGCAGGGCCTCTAGGTGCACAACGCCCCCCAGCGTGACCCCCGCAGGGCCCCCAGGTGCACGTCACCCCCCCGTGTGACTCCCGCCAGACCTCTAGGAGCATGATGCACCCCAGTATGACCCCGGCCATGAACCCACACGAGAGCTCAGTGACCCCTCCCGTTGATGTACAGTGCGGCGAGCTGCCGGGTCCACACCCCAACACTGCGTGCTCCCACTGTGCCTCGGGGCCAACACAAACGGGTGTGGGGCTCCCACGGACACTGCCTAGCGGGACTGGGCAAGCCCAGGTCTGGACCTTTGGCTCTCAGGCCACAGACACTGCACTGGTGGGGAGACAGGCTCTAGAGTGAGCACCCTGCAGGCCTGCAGCCTCACTGGGCACAGCACTTGCTTGGGCAAGGCCTGAGGTCCTGCCAGGCAGCCCCCAGGGTGGCGAGTTCCGGAAAAGCTCCCCAGGGAGCCCCACTGCACTCAGAAGGTGGTGGCTGTTTCACAAGACGTGACTATGGAGAAAGGGGGGTGATTTATGACCTGTGCTGCCCAGGACACCCAGCCAAAGTGGTCACGGCTGGCCTGTGGGCTAAACACGAGCCCCCTCGGGGAAAAGGGGGTCACTGATGGGGCAAACTTCAAACGTGTGCCTGCCACCCAGCAGTCCTGGGCGGGGGGACACACCCCGCGGTGGTGCCGGAGCGCTGGCAGGGCAGGGACGGCCACCTTGGAGAGGGGTCCGAGGATGCGATGCTGCCACCGCCTGCTCAGACAGGCGCCTCACCTTCCAGTCCAGGCTCGGGTCCTGCATGAGCTGCTGGAAGCAGTGCAGAGCCCGCTCCTGGAAGGCTCCATCTTCGTAGCGCTCCCGGCCAAACCCACCGCGCCGGGCGGCGTCTGCCAGCTGCAGCTGCAGGAACAGGACCAGGTCGGGCCTGGGGAGGCCCACGTCCGGCTGCTTGCACCAGTCTAGGGAGACGTTCTGTGGGCGGAGCCGACAGTCAGAGGAAAGCAGCGTGGGGGCGGGGTTTGCGTTAAAAGTCACAAAACGAGGAGGAGCCAGTAGTGATTGTGAGAGCGCTTATGCGGCCGGGCGCTTCTCTATGGTTTGAACGGAAATCCGAAATGTCTGCTCTCAACTTTTGAGTACATGCGGTGATTCAGGGAAAAAAGTGGACAGAGCCACAGCCCAGGCCCTCGTCTGCCACATGCCCTGATCCTCAGGTAGACACAGAGGTGGCCACGGACCCTCCTCCAGGCCCAGTGTCCGAGCCACAGACCCTGAGGCCCAGTGGAGGCCCCCCACCCACGTGGCCACCCCAGGTGCTGGCCTTTCTGACGCGGGTCTGTCTGCTGTCCCAAAGGGGCAGAGGCCAACAGCCCTCAGGATGTGAGAACCAGCCTGTGGTTGCTCAGCCACATGTCCCGTCCTCCTGGTTACAGACAGACTCTGAGCTACTGGATAACCACGGAGGGTGCCTCTCAAAGGAGGATTCCAGCTACAACCCGATGAGGGCAGGACGGAATTGGGAGCATCACCGTGCCTTAGTGAACATCTAGGCCGGGCAGCCACCACTGATGGGGTGACACAGAAATGAGATAGCTGGTATCAGGTGCCTCTCGGCAGGAGAGCCCAACACCCCTCAAAGTACCAGGAATCGGAAAATAAGAGAATTTAAATACGGGGGAATAAAAGTGGGGAACACAGACTTCAGAAGAGAATTAGAAGCCCTTCACCGTATGGGCTGTAATTGGATTCTAGTGTAAGCTTTGCATTTTCTGATAAAAGTGGACAGAGGGGCCACGCTTGGTCCTGCCACCCTCCCTATAACATGACAGCTGGGGACAGGGAGTCAGGAAAACAAGCCTTGAGCATCCCAATGCCCAGCCTCTGGGCTGGGAGTGAGGGCTGGGTGCAAACGCTGCTGGTGGGCCATCCTCGGGCAGCAGACCCAAGGGCGGTCACTGAGTCCAGTGCGGTCATGTCTGGAGAGCACTTGTAGCTACGAGTGAGCACTTCCTGCCAACAGGTAAGGACTAAACAGATCCAGCAGAGAACTGGAGGCTCCTATGGCAGTGACGTGAACAGATGCTGCCTGGGGGATCCCGGTGGAAGGGGTCTTAGGTGCCCTGGAGGGGGATGTGTGGCTGAGAAACCGCAGGCCGCTCCTCTCACCTCTTTGGCCGCTGTAAAGGCGACACCAGAAAAAGCGTACCGGTCCACAACGAGGGTGACGCCTTGGTCCAGCTTGTCTCTAATTAAAGGCCTGAAAAGCAACGAGTCGGTCGTGGTCACGGCTCCCACCCCATGCAGCATGCTTAATCGACCTCCACAGGACACAAGGAGAGAACTATGGGGCAGGCACATGTAGCCTCTTTCTTTGTAATCAAGAATGAGCCCTTTAAAAGTCCCCCAAAGTGCCAACTGCCTCGTCAGAAGATGCTGCAGGGCACTCCCGGCAAAGCCCCACGTGAAACAGATGACGACACTGTACAGACCCACAAGCTGGCTGATGAAGACAGGCGCCCAAGAAGCTGGCGGAGGGGCCCATGACACCTCCCAGCTGCTGGGGATGGGGCAGAGGTCCTGCACTGACCCTAGAATGGCAGAAGAGGGGGGGGGGAGAGCCAGGAGACAGTTTGGTAAGGCCCATGCCTGGGCTGAAGGATGAGGAGACCAGGGCAGGAGAAGGGGGTGAGCAGAGCCAGGAGACAGTGTGGCGAGGCCCATAAGCCTGCAGCCTGGAGTGACTCACACTGAGGACACCCATCCCCAAGGCCGCCACGGTCCCAGGAAGAAAGTACACAGACAGTGGGGTTTGGTACTAGCAGGAAACAATACTTAAGCAAAAGAGAGCAAAGCAAAGTCCAGTCCTACTCTGCAAATCTGACCAGGGACCCACAAATTCCAGGACCGTCCCTGAGCACTGGGGAGGAGGAAGGATGGGGGGACCCAGGGGCAGTGTGTTTACACTTGTTCCCAGCGGTTTGCAGAGAAGAGCAGATGCACAGAGTGGTCCTCCACTTCGGTTTTCTTCTCCAAGTAGGAACTGAGAAGTTTGCCAATTTCAGTTGATCTTTCTATAAAAAAAGAGAAAAACAAATAAAATGAGGTCAAACTCCATCTACATTAGAAGGTCGTTTGGGCTAAACTTTCCATCCGGATTCAAGTCAGCTTTGAGGTCTACTTTCCTACATCTCTAACTGAGTAAGGACCTTTCCCTGATGCCAGAGGAGTTTTTCTGGGAAAAAGTGAGCTGTGTGCAGAAACGTCAGACAGGAAGTGCTTTAGGAAACGGGAGTCCAGTTAAAAAGTAGTGACTTCAAAGAGAGAATTCGTAAGATTTGTGGGCTGGCTGGCTGAAGACAGAACCAATAAGCATTCACAGAAGCGCTGTTGCCATCTCCCTAACTTTTTCTGGTAACACTCGATTATCTGAGTACTGATTTTATTTTCATAAACACTTTCAAGGTCAGTATTTTACTCTAAAAATAAAAACTTTGCCATAAAACCCCCCGGAGGTCAAAGGTCCATCCAAAAAAGTGAGAAACATGGATTACATAAAGGCATGAGAAAAGTTCTGGGGATTCGTAAAATTTTCATTATCTTGATCGTAGAAACGGCTTAACGGTTGTATACCTAAGTCCAAATTTATCAATCTCTATGCTTTGAAAAGCCTCACAGAAGTTAAAAAATAAAAGGAGAGATGCGCCAAAGAGAGTGGTGGGGGGCTGCGACCATTATGAGTAACAGTTTACAACAACACAGTACAGACAGCAACCTCGGCCGCAGTGACCGCCTTTCCACGGGCAGATGAAGCACTGAAGAATACTGGCACGACTGGCCTGCATTTTTCCATCTCTCGGATGATTTTAGATGAAACTTCCCAACTTTACACTGGATCGCAAATTCCGCTGTCTCGGGAAAAGTAGTCAGCATCAATCTGCGTGCACAGCTCCACAACATAATCGCTCTACGCAGAAACGCAGGGAAGCGCGGCCACCGGTGCTCGCGGCAGGCCGCGGGCCCTACAGGACGCGGCCGGCCCCGCCCGCCCTGCGACCCCTCGTCTGCCCCCGTGGGCTGTCCCGGCCCCACCGGGAGCAGGAGGCTCCTTCCCGGCCGCCATTCGGGAAGGACGAGGGTTCATGACAACATCTACCCGGGAAGCGGAGCAGCTCGGCGCGGTAACCGTCGGCGCACAGCGCGGCGACCAGCTTGCGGCTCTGCGTGCTCTTGCCGGCGCGGTCCACGCCCTCCAAGACGATCAGCGCCCCACGCCGACCCGCCATCGCACCTTCCCGCCACCGCGCGCTGCGCGCCACGGCTCAAACGTCACGGCCGCGCGGAGGCCCCATTGGCGGACGTCTGCGACGCGGGCTGGTATTAGCTCGCGCCAGAGGCGTGGGCAGGGATTGGCTCGCGTCAGAGGCATGGGCAGGGATTGGCTCGCGTTAGCCAGCGCTGGCGAGGATTTGCCGTCGTTGAACGCATTGGTTGGCGGCCGGGGGTGGGTGGGTACGTCATGACCCTCGCGAGCCTCCGTCGGCAGACAGCTGAGGGGCCGGGCCTCGCGGGTGGACGGCGGGGACTAGGGGCCAGGCGTGGATGGCGTGCGGGGACTGAGCGGAGAGGCGGGTGGAGTGCGGACGCAGCCCTCGGCGAGGGAGTCAGCGAGGCGGCCGGCGCCAGGCTGCAGGCTGGCCGGCCCTTGGAGGCAGGAAGGGGCTCCGAGCCGGGGGCGCCCCGAATTCCTGCCGCCGAGGCCTGGCCCCGAGCTGCACGAGTATGCGGTGGACACGCGGGAAGCGCCCAAGGTGGAGGTGGCGCCGGGCCTCTGACCCCCCAGTGCTCGCGGGCCGAGAGGACGAGTCCGACGGAGCGCCTCTGGAGTGGAGATTGATGTCGGGGAAATCGCAGTGGACTGCGCTAGGTATTATGTAGTTCATCTCGCTAAGAGATTGGAGCTCCTTACTTCGTGCCAGGCTTTGCCAGGAGCGACACTGAGACCCTTGTTCTCGTGAAGCGAAGAGTCTACTACGGTGGCTTCACCAAGGTGTGCCTGGGGATGACCAGGCCGCTTTTCCGAAGCGTACCTGGGCAGTCCTCTGACACTGTCTGAAAACTGTTTTACAGAGCAGGGCGGGGGTAGGGTCTGTCTGGACGCTGGTCACGTGACAGTTCTAGGAAAAGAATACGGTTAATAGGTTGGCAGTATTGTTCCTAAAGCGCAGAACTACAAGACTGACGGTTCATCTCAAAAGATGGTGTATTGCAAGTTATCACAAGGAAAGAGAATGGGTAATTTCACAAAATCCTGGGAATCTCTGTCCAAAAACAATACTTGCTTTGTTTTTATTATGAAAATGTGGAATATTTAATACTTTTATTATGAAAACATCGGGGGAGAGGGCTGTCTCCAGTGCCTCATACAAAAGCTGTGCTTGGAGAACATAGGGAACCATCCTTTTTTCGCTGTGGGCTGTTACAGAGTATATCGGTGGCTGCTGTAGTAACGTAACCACAGAGTGGGTGGCTTAAAACAACCGCAGTTTCTTCTCTCACGGTTCTGGAGGCCAAAATGAAGGTGTCAGCAGGGCCATACTCTCTCTGCAGGCTGTAGGGGAGGAACCCTTCCTTGTCTCTTCAGCTTCTGGTGGCCCCAGGTGTTCCTTGGCTCGTGGCTGCATCACTCCAGTCTCTGCCTTCGCCTTCACATGGCCACCTTCGTTTGCGTCTGTGTGCAGAAAATGGTGCTGGGGCGTCGCCTGACCTCGTCTAACTTCACAAGGGGGACGAGCGGATCACCATCAACATCAGCCCAAGGCTGATCCCTGTGCCGAGGTCAGACATATCTCCTCTCTCCAACCTTTTTACTAATTCTGACGCCAACTGTCCCTCTCACGTCCCTCTACTTCTCTGCTAGGTTCGATAGTTCGTTGCAATGGTCACATAGAACTAACAGACAATATTCAATGATTACAGGGTTTATTAGTGAAGAAACAGGTTACAGCTTGGGATTAGGAAGTGTGTAGACCAAGTCTCCTTTCTTCAGCTCCTCTTGGCTATGCAGGCCTCCTCTCTGCCCCGCACCACCACCCCCACCACCACCCCCGAGGACAGGCTCCTCTTGGCCCCCTCAAGATAGGCCTTCTCCCTCAGCCCCCAGCCCTGCTCAGTCCTGGCCTCTGTCCTGCTCTGGCAAGTGTTACAAAGCCCTTTAGCTCCACCAAGTGCCCAGAGGCACTGGACTCCACCAGGAAGCCTCCTGCCCGAAGGCTCTCTTCTCTCTGTGGGTCGGCACGCCAACGGGAGTCACCCGGAAGCCCTCTGTGCCTTCTCGCGCTGGCCTTCTGGTTCTGCCATTTATCTGTTGGCTGTTTCTTGCCATATCATGCTGTCTCCTGTGTTACAGCTCATTCTCTGCATCCTGGGTCTAAGGTTCTCAGCATGGGGACCCCGAGTCCAAAGGATGTGGTCGCTCTTGGCTCTTCTTTCTTTTTTTTTAAAATTTAATTAATTAATTAATTTATTTTTATTGTACTTCAGGTGAAGGCTTACAGAACAAATAGTTTCTCATGCAGCAGAAGTACCCATGTTGTTTTATGACACTGGTTAACAACCCCACAACATATAAACCCTCTAACTTCTCAACCTTTTTTTTTTTTTGGTGAAAATACACATAGCCAAAGATACACCATTTCAAAGATGTCTACATGCACAGTTCAGTGACATTGATTACGCTCTTCGAATTGTGCTGTTATTCTCACTTAAGATGAACGCTTACAGAACAAAATAGTTTCACATTTAACAGTTACTACAAATGTCGCCCTATGACAATGGTTAACAATCTCACAACACATCAACAATATCCTTACTCAACCTTGGGTTCCCTATCACCAGCTTCCT